GAGAGAGAGAGAGAGAGAGAGAGAGAGAGAGAGAGAGAGGAGAGATTGTGGGAGGTGAGGTTTGGGGAAGGCTTCGAGTGTTTGAGCTGTGTGAGGAAAGATGCAGTGTTTGAGCTGTGTGAGGAAAGATGCTAGCAAGCCGGGTTCAAACTTGGACCCCTGACATCTGCTGTTTCCCCCTTTACTGCCGGGCAGGAGTTCTCTGGGGGCTGAGAGGACAGCCAGGAGCTAGCAGGGAGGACTCCCTTCCCCTTCACTTTCCCTGGGAATCCTTGACTGTCTTCTGCGAAGAATGGAGTTCTACTAAGTTCTTAGGAAGGTTTGTGGGCACTCGCTGTATCTCCCCTGTACGTGCTCTGGCCAGGCAGTTTCACATACAGAATATTTTTAGACCTTTTATCCTGCCGTGGTCAGAATCCCTCCAAGGAGATCTTGGCTTCTGTACCGCTAGCAGCTATCAACTCTGACTCTGGGAACAGTGTGGAGGACGTGGAGTTGCTCAGGTTTCTTTGGGAGTCACTGTTTCTTCTTCCTTCTGAAGCAGAAAAACTTCATAATCAGCGCAGGAAGCAAAGTAGCAGCAGCTGGGTGGATGGGTGTAAACAAAGGTTTGGTGTGGAGGGAGGTGAGGTCTACCAGCAGGGGTCCTTACCCCAGGAGCCCAGAACACTTCCAGGAGAGTTTACAGTGTTGCAGGGTCTGCTCTGGGATGGTTGGTATTTGAGACATGAAGTGCCTGTCCTACTCCAAGAGAGCCAGCACTCTATCATGGTCTGCATCAGTATAGGGATGACCTCCACAGTATGGACTTATTCTGGACTAATGACTCTTACCTAACTTTGCAAGCAAAAAGTTATAGTTTATAATATAAACAAGCTCAGTGAGCCATGGGCTCCTCTTGTGACCTGGGCTAAGACCTTAATCCCTCAGGACCCCTTCTTGCCCTCCACCCAAGATAGTGTAAAATAGAATATGAATAAATTTACATATGAATGATTTACATATCAAAGCACTGGAAGCTGTGCATTTTTCTCATTGCAACAATGAGAAACATTGAGAGGTCTGCTTGATACTGTGTGTGTGATTCTAAGTCTAGGGCTCAAAGGGCAATATTCTTTGATTAGATAAGGGTGGATCCTAGCTTCTACTTCCCCAATTCATGCTGGCGATATATTTCAGTAAAAGAATGAGTGAAGCCTAACTTGAGAGCACAGTTCTGTGAGACATCTGAAGGAACACATTCTCAGTTCAGGGCCCCTCTTGGCCTTAAAATGAAAGTGGAGAGTCAAAATGTTTCTTTATTCAGGCATAACTGTAATGTGGCTTAGGAACACCACACAAGGCAATCTGCAAACATATAAACAGGTACACAGATACACACACACACACACACACACACACACACAAAATAATTGTTAAAAAGAGTTGGGGTAAACTCTTGCATCTAGTGCCCCATGGATAGACTACAAGATTCCAGTAAAGGAAGGAGTGAGTCACTAGTGCACTGCAAGCAGTAAAATTCAGAATCATTTTACACGGCTGAAGAGTCAGAGGTGGGTATGCACCATGGTTCTAACTTCAGGGCACATCAACAGCCCTAGGAGGACTTGCTTTTACCTCCGATTGCTGACCCACTAGAGAGTTGGGAGGTCTGGAGCTAGGCTCCAAATTTGCATTTCTAGATCCCAGAGGAGGCTATAAGCCACTGATGGGTATGTTGAGGCAGAAAGTGGTGACTATATTAAAAGCCCTGGGTTCAGCCAGCATTAACTTCAAAATCTAACTCACCAGCTTTGTAGCTGTGTGATTTGGGGATGTCACTAAACCTCTCTGTTCCTCAGTCTTCCCACTTATAGCAAATAGTGCCTTTCCCTTGGGATTCAGAGGAGGCTTCCTGAAAGAAGGGCCATGCCACTTGAGATCTGATGGAGGAATGGATCACTTGGCCAGGGGACCAAGTTGCCAAGGGGGAGGAGGGCATGGTATATTGGAAACTTAGGCGGGGTGGGGGAGCCTGTATCCTCTATGAAACTCAGAGAAGGTGCTCTGTTCATAGCAGGTGCTCTGTAATCAATATAGAAAATGCCACCAGCTGGCTCTACCCAGGATAGGTAGAGGGGACACTGGCCAGGGTATGGAAAGTGAGCTGCTGGGTGCAAAGTGATTTCTGCCCACATTCCATTGGCTCAGATCCAGTCACATGGTCCCTCCAAGGTGCAGGAGATTACTGGGAAATGTAGTCAGTTACTGGGCAAGTGAGCATGAATTCATCAGAGAATTAGCCATCTATTTCACAGTGGCTTTTCCTAGCCCATTTCTCACCTCATGTGCTCTGCTCCCTTCTGTGAGGTGAAGGAACTTGATAGAGGAGAAAACTGAGATTCAGAGTAGCTAAGTAACCCCAGCATTGCTCAGCTAGCCATGGCAGAGTCAGGACTCAGATCTGTTCATCCCAAACACCTTGTTTATCCAGATCCTAGTCTTTTTCAGGTTTTTCATGATCTAGGCTTTACCCCCCAGTGTCTCAGCCATGCCACTGGGCCACCCAGCCCCCTGGTGTTCATACCGCACGTGTGGTGCTCAGGGCTGCGACTGGAGGAATGAGACATGTCCTCCTTGCCAAATGCTCACATGGCCTGGCCATGGGGAGGGCTGTGTAAACACAGAGCACAGTGTGAGAAGCGAGGCATGCCGTATCCCTGGTGCAACCTGCCAGGAGTACACTGTGTCCTGGGGACACAAAAGATGGTGCCTAGCAAATGATTCAACATTAAAATCTAAAGCCCTTTTATGCATGATGTTCGTTGAGGCTATAATGAGTCTTTTCTACTTTGTGTTCTAAAATGTCTTTCCTGATTTCTAAAATAATAAGCGAACTGGTGTACAGTGACAGATTTGTGTGAACAGAGTCCAGGGTGCTCTGCACCTTCTGAGCATTTCAGCAGAGTGAATGTTGACTTAGCTCTGGCCTTCCAAAGCAGGTTGCTGTTCCCTCCGGCCAGGAAGCTGATTTCTCTCTGTCCTTGGAATGCATGGAAACTTATGTCCTGCTCTCTGTCACTATCCTCTGTATTCCTTTTGTTATACCTTATCCACAGGACCCCAAAAAGACCACCGAGGACTCAACACACCAAAATGCAAAAGCAAGGTTTATGGTTTATTCGGGCTCAAGCTCGGGCTCTCAGACCGCATCAATATGACAGATCCGTGCTGAGAGCCCAGGTGGGGGAAGAAGGGGCTCTTTATAGGTTAGAGACAAAGGGAGGAGGGGAATAACAGTGTCATTTTATGGTTGGTCCAAGAATCCTGTGCACGCCAACACAGGATGCGGCCATGGAGGTTTTTTATTGGTGGGTGCTGTTCTCAGGGTTGTGGAATGTGCTGGCCATCTGTGTGGTCAGGAGTCTTCATTTTTACTCTATAGGGCAGTGTCCATGCCAAGGCTTATCTAATCTATAGTTTCCTGGAAGGGGAACAGCAGGGGGAGGAGTAGCAGCAGGCGGGCATTTCAAGCATTATACAGAAGCTGAAAAGAACAACCAGGGGGGTTTCAGGAGGGGTTGAATGAAGAGGATCTCCGGGTCCTACATTCCCCCCTTGTCTTGTAGCTGGGGAACCCCATCATGAGTTCCGGACAGTCAGTTCATAAGTGTCTGGGAGGTCTGTCCTAAGGGGCATATAAGCTTGTTGTCTCTGCACCATGAGTTGGTTGGTGCCTAACCTGTCTTTTATGAACTGCACTAGTCTATTAAGAATGCATGGCCCTAGAGTGAGTATCAGAAACAGAATTATGAGAGGGCCTAGGAGAGTGGAGATGAGGGTAGTCAGCCATGGGGATTTGTTGAACAAAGATTCGAACCACCCCTGCATTTCCTGCCTCTGTTTACGTCTGGCATCTAGTCCCTCTCTGATCTTGGCCATGTTCTCTCTTATAACTCATGAATGGTCTCGGTAGAAGCAGCATTCTTCCTTCAGAGCGGCACACAGCCTGCCTTGCTGTAGGAAGAGGAGATCCAGCCCTCTCCGATTCTGCAGGGCCACTTCTGCTAATGAGCTAACGGAATCTTGGAGCTGACTTATGGATTCCTCTAAACGCTGGAGATCAGCATCCAAGCTGGTGAGTAGGTCAGTGTATTGAGCATTGCCTTGTATGATGGCAGTGGCTCC